TATAAATGCTTGTTTTTTCATGCTTGTGTTGTTGTTGTTTTCTTGTAGCACATAGCACCAACAGCTACTGCTAACGTTGGGGGGTGGGGGGTGGCGCGGAGAACACACACACAAAAAAACAAACCCCCAAACTACCCAGGCCCTGTTGCTCTGTCCCCTGGAGCTCGCTTTGCCCTGAGTTCTCCCTGCCAGTGAGTTGCAAGCGTGACATTTGCTGTGTTTTCAGCACCTGCCAACTTGGAAACCAGGGTTTGTGCTCAGGATTTAGGCTTACAACCCACACTCTGTGGTGCACAATGCCATCCCAGCTGGCACGCTTTCCTACCTCAGTGGTGCTAGACGTTTACTTACTAAGCTGTGCAGACTCACATACGCCGATTTCAGCAGTCAGGCCCCTCCAAGCTGCTTTCAACTCTCATTTCCTATCAAAGGAGCTAGATTGGTATCAATTAATTCACTGCTGTGATTTTCTTCAATGAAAATAAACGTGTTACGTTGGGTATTTTTGTTTGTTTTTTTTAAAGAACTAAGGTACCTCTTTAAATAGGTGGGTGTATGTGTGTGTGTGTGTGAGTATGGGACTAGAACTGCAAATGTGATTCCAGCCAGAGCTGTAATTCATTGTCACCAGTGGAAAGGTTTCAGGCCATAAGGTGAAAGAGTGGAAAGGAAGGCACAGAGAGATTATTGTTGTCGTTAGGTGCCGACAAGTCGGTGCTGACTTTGTGTTCAACACAACACAGTCCTCACAGTCGCGCCCAGGCTTGAGCCCGCTGTTACAGTCATCGCGTCAGTCCATCTCACTGAGGGCCTTCCTGTTTTTCTTTTATTAAATGTTTTTATTTTGGATTTGGTGAAAGTTTACAGGGCTTCACATTCAACCATTCATATAGCTTGTTTCATTACATTGATTATTATCCCCTCCATATATCATCAGTTTACAGTGTTTCTCTCTATCCTCTTTAGCTTTTTTTTTGGATTGAGGGGGACTTGCCTTTTTGGAATTTACAGTCTCGGCTTTTAGGGAAGGTTTTTACATTTGTCTGTGGATATCCAGGGCTCATGTATGAGATTACTAACAAGCATTACTGAATAATCAGATGAGGGACAGTTTGCTATGTCTACTAGGTAGCTAAAGTCTGATCCTCAGAGCCTATGGTTTGGACGGTCAACAACGCTTGGGCCCACAGGGGCTTGGCCTCCTGACCGGGTCTGCACTGTCTGCATCCGAATCCTCCTTATTTATTGTTTGTTTAAGGGACGCTGCCTGTCTTAGGCGGTCAGTGCGAATTCCTCAGTCTTACCAGTCATTGAAACTCATTGCAGCATGGCAATGGCTCTGTCTTAAGTTGCCGAGGTTCCACGTGATCCTTACCCGTCTCTGGCCACACGTCCAGCATAAACAGCCGCCATCCGAGGAAGGCGGGGAGGGAGGAGATCGGCTGGGGACCCCATACGCAAGACGTTGCCAGCCCGCCACCTGCTCTAAGGTGACCAAGCAGGATCACTATGCTGAGGTTCAATCAAGTTCTTAGGGGGCTTCCTGTTTTTCATGGACCCTCTACTTTGCCAAGCTTGATGTCCTTCTTCAGGGACTGGCTCCTCCTGATAACGTGTCCAAAGTTTGTGAGACAAGTCGTGCCGTCTTTGCTTGTAAGGAGCATTCTGGCTGTACTTCTTCCAAGACGGATTTGCTCATTCTGCTGGCCATCCGCAGTGTAGTCATTATTTTTGGCCAGCACCATCCATAATTCAGAGGCATCTATTCTTTGGTTTTCCCTTATTCATTGTCCTGCATTTGCACGGACATGAGGCTATTGAAAATACCATGGCGCACATTAGCCCTCAAAGTGACATGATTATTTAAAAAACAAACAAGCAGACGAACACTTAAACGTGGTCTTTTCTAGCAGATTTGGCCAACGCAATCATATATTGCTTGATTTCTTGACTGCTCTTCCATGGGTGTTGATTGTGGACCCAAGTCAAATGAACTCCTTGACAATTTCAGTCTCTTCTCATTTATCATGATGCTGCTTATTGGTCTAGTCTGAGGATTTTTGTTTTCTTTATGTTGAGGTATAATCCATACGAATCTTCATCAGTAAGTACGTCAAGGCCTCTCTGCTTTCAGCAAGCAAGGTTGTGTCTTCTCCATATCAGTTTGTTAATGAGTCTTTGTCCAATCTTGATTCTGCATGTAGCCCAGCTTCTTGGCTTATTTGCTCAGTGTACAGATTGAATAACTCATTATCATCAGTGGAAACATTTCACACGGCAAGATGAAAAGAACAAACAGGAAGGAACAGAAGGACTAATGTGTCACAACCTACCATGCAGGTAGGATTCTTGGTTGTAGCTGGCTCATAGATGTGGGGGAAACGATCCACCTTTTGTTCTAAATAAGACCACGTGAGAGAATTGCCAAGAATCACCCTTATGGGTAGGTCAAAAAACTTGGCTTCCGTCTGTAAACAAAAACTTTGAGTATTTTCCAAAGAAGTATATTTTGCTGAATTGTTTTCAGTTGCTAATTTCTTTGGAAGAAGTTAGGTGGATTTGGAGCTGCTTGCCTTCTCACAATCCATTATCAGCAGTTTTAAAGGGGTCTGCTTTTTTTTTTTTTTTTTTTCCCTCTTTTTTTTAAAGGGTCTTTTCACATGTAGAAAGGACAGTGTGAAATGTGAATGACTGGCTTTTAATACACCAGTTGTGACAAAGAGGCGGTGGCTTTTGGAAGCTGAATAAAGGGGTTAATACACAGGCATCTGCGTGCCACTGTTGGGTCCAACGTATATGACACGTTTGGCGTTTGCTTAGCTCACTCTGTTAATCTAAAATGAATTGGATGTTACTCTCTGGAATCAGTGGCTACTTTTTAGTGGTGAGATGCAGATTGATTGAATGGGGGAAGTGAGCAGCATTCACAGTACTTGCTCAGCTTTTCATTGTTTGAAGGTCACATTTGTCTGGTTCTATGGACACAAAAGTACAACACCCACCAACTAACTGGCTAGGACACTCCATAGTATGTATCAGAACCAACCTTTACCCTCCTCTGCATAAACGTGCTTAGATGAACACTTTTATTAGCTTGTTGATACAAGTTCTAGTAGGTTACACCCTTTCTTAATAAAATACACCCTTATTGTCTCCTGTTGCTTAAGAGCTTTAAACCTGGAATGGGGGAGTTTTCTAATATAGCAAGATCCTCTGTTTAAACCACCTGGGCCATTTAAGTGGATAAATGATGCCTATCAGAACCACATCCTGCCTCCATTTGGGTGCCTGCATTGGGGGAGCCTTGGATGTTGCTGAGTTTTACATACTGGCTTGGAGCAGGGAAGGCCGACATTTGTTTCCCAGTGCATTCCATGAGGCCAGTCGGTATGAGTTGACGATATGGAAAAGTTTTTTAAGTGATTACTTTTGGCTTATTTATGGGTGTTTTCCTAAATAGGCCTGTGAATATGTGTTTCAGGCTCTGGGTGTGCTTGAAATCTGGTCCTGATTTCATTTTGACTGTTGAGCACAAAGGCTAACAGCTCAGTCTGCCAATTGTAGCTTCTTCTTGTTTAAAATCTAGAGTTTGACCGAGTTTCCATCTACTCCTTGAATTCAGCAAAATTCGATCATCCATCTTTTGGGTAGGATTTTTCTACTAGAGAGCCCTGAAGTGTAGCACTAAACATAGTGGGGTATTTTGGGTAGGATTTATATAATCGAGAGCTCTGAAATGTAGTACTAAACGTGGGGCTGTTTTTTTGGTAGGTCTGTAGGACTGAATACAGAATGTGGGGGGAACCCAGACACTACAAGGCACTGGGCTTTCATTCATGTACATGCGTGTAGCCTTTGGAAAGTCATGTCTCGAAAAAGCAAAAGCTGCCCAGTGGCTAGCAGCACACCCCCTGAAGCAGGTCTTCTGCTTCTGAACATTCTTCATTCAAGAAGGGCCCAGAACCAGAAAAACAGGCTGCTTTAGATTGGAAAGGAGGCCTTACAGCAAAGGAGTTCACCGTAACTACAATCCTTGGAATTTTGTGAGCTGAAAATCAACCTGAATGGAACACGAATAATGGCTGCAGTAATTGTTTCCAGGCCTGGGACCCCTGCTTCTTGGTTTTTTTAAAAGCTGACCTGATGAAGCTAGTAATTGCAGGACTAAACTGAATGTTTGCCAGCAGGAGTCACTCTAGGCCTCTTATAAAAAGTAAGTTAAACCCGCTCCTTAAAGCTCTCCAAGGCTCAGGTAGCCCTGTGATAGGGTAGCACAGCATCCGGAAATGCTGATGCTTCTCAGTTGAGTGTCTGCCTTTGTTAAACTCAGGAAGACTTGGTTCTTGATCCTTTCATGTGTGTTATTGTATGTAATCATTTGTGTGTATTAGCTCATGTGAGCTTTCTTAGGCTGCTTTACTCACACGCATCATCTACTTGAATAGATAGATGTCCTACCAAATCCTGAGGAGATATCACTGGCATGAGCTGAAGGAAGTGTCAAAAGCGATGTTAGCGCATGCTTTTCGGAAAAGAATGAGTGCAGTGTGATGAAAAACTGAAATATTTCAGCAGTAGCCATGAAATAGAATAGCTTCCCAAGAGCACACAAGCTCAAGAAGTTAATTGTTCATTTATGTTTGATACTGGGATTGAAACATTGGATTAAAACCAATTAAATGTTCCTAGAAGAAACAGAAGAAGTTTCCTGATTTATGAATAGAGCTATTCAAATGGTACAGACACAACCCATGTAAAAGAATGAGTTTGGGTTTTTTGAGGGGTGGGTGGGAGGTGTTGGCCACAGAGAACACATAACAGGCACGGGGAGCTCTTTTTTAAAACTTCGCTTGAAACATCTATTTTGGAATACGCGAAGGTCCAAATATGCGCCCATAGGTAGGAGTAGCTGGAAATGAGGGCTTCTTTTCACGGGGAAGACAGCCTCCTGTCCCGTGTCCCGTGCCCCGTTCCGTTGCGTTGCGCTCTCCACCCCCCAGGTGAGCGGTACAATGAACTTGCGCTGCTGCTTGTACACGGTCACGGTAACATTCCTGAACTTAAGTCAACATCCTAAGTTACAGAGCGAAACATGCTCTGCCCTTGCTTAGCAACCACAAAGCCTGCTTTTCCCAGTTGCATGCATTTTGGATTTGGTTTCTGAAGTACACATTCCTTTATTGCGACCAGCGTTCCGAGTTAAGAAACTAGCGCTTTATTTTCCCCAAAGTGGGACCACACTTGCCCGGCCCCCTTCCCCGGCCGCCTGGCATGCCACGGAAAACGATCACGAAATCATGTCTATGAAACACCTCCAAACGCCGCAACCCGGAAGTTGGGTGTGCGACGCCCACAGGGCCCGTGCAGTGGGCGGGAGGGCGGCCCGAGGCCCCCGGCTCCGGCGGGGCCACTTCCCTAGGCCAGGCCCGCAGGCTGCCCTCCCGCCCCGCTTCGGCGGCGCGCCCCACTCCCCGCCCACCGCGGCGGCGCGCACAGCCCCCGCCTGCCTGCCCGCCGCGCGCCTCCCACCGCCGCCCGCAGCAACCCAGCAGCCTCACGCAGTCGTGCTCTGCGGCCCCGCGGCGGCGCGGACAGCCCTCCTGGCCGGTGCAACGGACGACTTGCACACAGTTCAGGAAGTGACAAGTCGATTTCCTCCTCCCTGGGCGCCGCGTACAAAGCGCTCTGCGCCGGCTGGAGAGCGTGCGCGCTGCGCGGCGGCCACGGAGAGCACCCGGACAACCCGGGAGCGACAGCTTGGGCCTGGCTCCGGAGCTACCACAAACCACCCGCTGGCCGACCGATGCCCGCCTTACGCGCCGTGAGCTGCCTGGCCACCGGTGCAGTGAGCCGGCTTTCTAGCGCTGCGCTCCCTTCTGAGGTTGGTGGCTTCCTTTTTCCGCTGTGTTTTGGATTGTGTCGGCTGGTTTCTTGGGGCGCCTTGCCGCTCCGGTTGCAGGCGTGAGACTTGTCAAGAGCGCACTCAGGGAATGGGAACCAGCCTGGCCGCTGTGGAGAAGTCTGCGCTTCCCGGGCGGCACGGGGACGGGTGCGCCCGGTGTCTGTTCTCTGCGCCGGGTCTCAACTTGAGCCGTGTCCCAACACTGAGCTCCAGGAGCGGGTAGCCCCGCTCGCCCCGAAGTTCTCGCATCTATTGGAGACAACTCTTTTGTTTGAGGAAGTTTGCGTGCGCCACCTCCAGGGTGCGGGCACTCGGCGGGGCCCCGGCTGCTGGCCTGGCCGGGGCGGTCACTTTGGGGGTGAGGATGGGGGTGCCCGCAACCAGGGCTTACGGAGTGGGGGAGCTTGTGGCAGCGTGGCTTTTGCACATGGCGAGGAGGACCGTCCCGCACAGCGTTCTGCCAGGTCTTGATTTGCAAGCCTGTGCAGCCATGCCTGTGGTTTCTTTTGAGTGGGGTCGTGGGGAAGAAGGCGAGGACCCTCTGAGTCTGGGCAGGGCCTTGGGTTTGCATTGCTCCAAGTGTTTGCTCGGGCACCCCACCCCCGCCCACGCACTTGGGGAACAATGCTCCCGGGGCCCCGGACAGGGCAGTCGAGCAGCGCCAGGTCACGTGGGCCGGCTTGCTAGGGTCCTCATGTCTAGACGTCCCCCGAAGCCTGGCTCCCTCCATCTGACCGCCTGGGTTCATTAACACATACAGTACTTAGTCGGATGGTGAACAAAGAACAGCTCTTTGCAGCGTTTGATGAATGAGATTCTGCCTCCTATAGGCCACACTGCGAGTCTTACATACGTTACAGTCTCTGGACTCAGTGTTGGGGAAGTGGCCCCCAAGGTGGGCTGCATACAGGCTGGGAGCCCAGGGCAGGGCATTTGTGCCGCCGCCGTCACCGCTGAAGCGCTTGCCTTGCAGAGCCAGTGCAGATGGAACCCGGCTGCCGGTTGTTCAACAGGAACAAATGTTTGTGGAATTGTTGGATGGTGGAGAAAGGGGCTGTTTCCTGTTGCCTGCTGCAGGAGTTGGAATGGCATTGTTTATTGGCCTAGGAAGCCAGCGAGCGTCTTACGCAGCTTACAACATATTAGCAGGCTTCCAAATGACGTGCGAGCATATGTGTTCTCAGCAGTTCCCAATGGTTGGAAGGAGACACCTCCTTGTGCCAGATCGTGGACACTGACTTGGAAGCTGCCACTCTGTTTGAGGACCTGGGGGACAGGATGGAGGACACAGTCCCGGTGAAACACACTGTTCTTGACTTGGCCGTGCTTTGGTTTCATTTTAATTTGTTCTCTCAACAGTAACTTGTTTCAGATACAGTTTTGATACTGTATTGCAGTCTGAAGGGTCATTTTCCTGCTTAGTTGCCTAGGTAAACAGTAAGCATGCTAACCCACAGCAGCCTTCCAGGGAAGAGCTTTGGTTCTTAAGGTCTGGTTCCACAGTCTCCAGCTCAGAGCCTGCACATATGCTACTCCCCCTGTAGACCAGGACACTGTTCTCATCTGCTCCCGGGAGCCTAGGAAAGGAAGGCAAGACTGGGGTAAGGCCTGCCGTTAATTCCTGAGTACCATCTCACACTTTGTTATAGTGCTCTTCCAGTTCAAATAATTTTGTCCAGAAGGTAAGATTGGTGTACAATGATTTTAATATCGAAGACAAGCTTTGCCCCAAACCTGATTGCTGCAGAAATGGACTTGGAGTTTCCCCCAACCCCCCAATTAGGACAGACTGAAGCATGTCACTGCTTTAGTTAAAACCATGAGGCTGCAGGCCTTCATCAGTTTCGTCCCACTCTTTGCAGCTTACTGGCTACTGTGCACAGAGGCAGCATAGAAGTTCCTCAAGTTCCTTTGGAAGGAAGAGCTTTAAGATAAAGTAAGGTCATCATGGTGGTGACAAGTCATTGACATTTGACATTGCAGAACAATTTGGAGTGTGTTTTCAGAGCTCTTCAAGAAAGCTTCTCAGCCACCGTTTTCTAATGTGGGCAGTGGACCCCTCAGACTGGTTCAGTCACTGTCTTGTCAGGAAGGGTGACTTTCTGGAGGAGTTGAATCACACTCAGAATGAAAATCTTTTCTGTTCTCACCTTTGGGTGGGGGCAGGGAGGACTGAAATCAACAAATCGTTTGGTCAGCACAGCCCCCATGATTCCCACCACTGCACACACACCTCTGATGTGTCATAAAAGAAACCTGCAGGCGTAGTCTGTTATGTAATATGCTGATAATACAAGTTTCAGTTTTAGATGGGAACCAGATGTGGAGGGGCTTGCTTTCATTGATCCAACAAAGGGGGGACGTTTCCAGTTTCTAGATGAGCTGACCCCAAAGGTGGTAGGATGATGATGATGATGATTTTGTTGTTGTTGTTGTTTACTTCAGTGGAGAATCCCAGACCCGGGTCTTTTTCGAGGTTTTTGTCTTTTGGCTTGGCGCATCGCTGCAGCTGTCCTTTTTGTCATTCTCTTCCTCTCTTGAAAGAGGCCCGTTTGTTGCCAACATGAAGCACATAGCCAGGTCTGGCTGGGCTCAACGAAGCTTAGTACTGCTGCGCTTCTCTCGCCTCGTCCCTCGTCCAGCTGCTGCCCCGTCCTCCACCCTCCAAAAGGGCCTGGATGGGGACTGGGATGGTGCCAGGCACGTCGACTGGCCTCACTTCCCTCTGAAAGGTCCCATCGTCTAGAGAGAGGGGCTGTTTCAACTTGCCCAGGAAGACTCTTTCCAAAACCGTGGACTCTCTTCTCTAGTTAATTTCTGTGTTTGTTTCCTGCCTAAGTTTATGAGGGTTCTTGCTACATGGCTGAGTCACCTTTATTATGGCCCAAGGTTGGGACGGCACTGTAATAGCTGACCCCATTAACAGCAGTTCCCTTGCATGCAGGGATATGAACTTTGGAAGCAAATCCAGCGGCTTACATATGCCGATGGGCTGGGAGACTTGCTTAGAAATTTTTTGTTTTAGCACAGTTTACATTAACATGATTAATGGCTGCCCAACTGAAATGTCTTTATTCCAAAGCAATTTACCCTTCCCTAGGGTGTGGTGCTGTGGGTTAATGCGCCAGACTGCAAAGCCGTTAGAACTGCAAGGTTGGTGGTTCAAGCTCACCAGCTGCTCCTTGGAAACCCTATACAGGGTCGCTATGAGTCGAATCGACTCGGTGGCAGGGTTCCCCATAGGGCAAAGTCATTTTCTTTGCCAAACAGCTTTGTTTTAAGGTAACTTCTTCTTTGATGCTTACTCCAAACCTTGTGTACAGGCAGTTTTGGATCAAGGTTTGGGATGTGTCAATTGTGGGCTGTGGTTTTGGTGATGCCTTAACCTTAACCTGAACTAGGGTCCCAGGGGACCCCCATGAGTGTAATACAAAGTTCTCTAAGCTTCTGAGCCAGTGTCGTATTGTTGGTTGTTATTGTTAAATGCTGGTGAGTCAGTTCCAACTCATAGTGACCCTGTATAGGGTATCCAAGGAGCAGCTGGTGAGCTTGAACTGCCGACCTTGTGGTTCAAACAGACCTTGAGGTCCAGTGCTTACCCGATAGGGCCACACCAGGATGGAGGAAATCTTCCAGAAGAAACTTGGCTTTAGGATGTCTTGAAGGGATGGGATGTGGGGTGGCTGGAGCCGAGCACAAGATTTTTTTTTCCTCCTCCAAGCAGGGACTGAAAATACTTGAGCTTTTCAGAAGAATAGACATCCCTGCTGTAGCCTGCCTGCCTTTTTGTTAACTGTGGGTTGGGTTGAGAGGGAAATGCTGATGGGTGGCTCTGAAAATAGCCCCGGGAGCCCGAGAAAATAAAAACACATTTGAAGGACTTGGGAAGATTTTGCATTTCAAAGGGTCTACCTTGTCGAATTTCACATCACGTCAGGGGTTAAAGAGAAGTGTGACAGGCACCCTGGCTCTGCTGTTGGAGGAAGCTGCGTTCTGCATGGGGGCGGAGTGGGGCTGACCACGCAGGATGTCCTGGGCATGACAGGGTTTCCCTAGCACCCACAGGCTGTGGACACAGAGCCACTCTCTGGAGGGCGAGCGCCCATGAGACCCCAGAAGTGGCAGGCTATGCCACCTGACGTCCCCCACCCCCACCCCGCTGTCTCCCTCCACTGGTGTAATATGGTTCCCAAGTCCCCAAGATCCAGGACTGAAAAGTTGGATGCAGCAAGGATTCAGCTCAGACGGGTTCTGCTTGTTTGTGTGGCCTTTGCCTGGCTGGCTGCCTCAGGAGAATCATGCCAGTGCCTACCGGTTGCAGCAGGCACTCCGGAGGCTTTACACATATTTTTTAATGCTCAAAGAAGAGGAGGAAACAGGCGCAGAGAGGTGAAGTAACTGGCCCAAGGCTGCACAGCTGGAAAGCAGAACAGTCAGCGTCTCTGTTTTGCTTCTTCTGCTTCAGAACCGACTTGCTCAGCCCACCCTCTGCTGGTTGTGGGGTTCAGAAAGAGGTGGTGAATTCTGTTTTATCTCAAAGGATAAATTTTGTTTAGTCTTGTTAACACGCTTTGTCCCCTGGCCCCCCTTTCCTGTGGCTTTTTAATTTTTTTTCCTCTTTCTCCTAAGGTTTGCTTGGCTTCTGATTCTACTAGAGGGCGGCCTCACTGGAAAAAATGGAAATGTTTTGCTTCATTGTTACAAAAGACAGATTCACAAGAAAATAGAATGATTTCCAATGACCTTCTGGGGGAAACAGAAAGAAATCTGACAGAAGGCTCCAAGCATTTCCATTTTCTATTCAGTGAGATTTTTAAAAAAGAGTTTTCAGCTTCTTGGTCTTCTGTTTTTAGGGTGGTGTTGTTGGCATTTGTAGTTCAGATGTCTCCAAGTAAATGATTTTGTGATGCTTGCCACCCGAGG